AATAGCAAACTCTTAATTGGGAAAGAATCTGAATTCAACACAACGACATATTCGAACCTTTTGATTAGTCGAGAAGCTTACATGAAATATGACGACAATTTTAACGAGTTATATTTTTTTGATTTGTTTATAAATAACAATATTAAACAACTTTGTATAAATTTCACTAATGAGTACGGAAAACAAATGAGTATTTATAATAACATTAGAAATGATGTGGAATCAGATAAAATTGAATGGAAAGATATTTCAATTGAAGAATTTAACGCATTTCTTGCAGTAACAATAATACAAGGACAATTCAAAGATAATAAAATTGCACTTGATGCGTTGTGGCAAAGTGAAAAATCAAGTATATTATATAAAGCACCAATATCTTTAAAGAAATACAAACTCATCAAAAAATATTTGAGATTTGATGATGGTGCGTATTTAAGAGAAATTGCAAGAATCGAGTTTAAAAGTGATACTGATGACATTTCCCAAGATTCTGAAGATGTATTAGAAGAAGATCACCAAGAAGAACAAGAGATATCACCGGTTACAAGAACATCTACCCCAGAAGTAGATTTGGACTTTAATTGTGATTTTGTCACAACACAAAGCCAAACAATTGAAGATGGCAATACATCTATGTGTTCTTTACAACAAACTGCTAGTTTTCAAGTACCAATATCAACACAACGTATCACGAATACCAGAACCACTCAACTCAGAATGCTTCCTTCACATATGCTTCGACACGACCAACGCCCCATGACATCTCAAATCGTTTCACAACAACAGACACCAACAAGACATATTACTAACTTAACCACACAACTTGGATTACAACCAATAAGACCACTTGTGTATCCTTTGCCTTTTCAACAAGTAGTCGGTTCAACTTCAACAGTCCCTATAAGAAACACGAGTTCATTAGATCCAATTATAAGAATTCAACATATAAATAACACCAATGTGGTAGACACTATAACACAAGACAGTGATACAAATAAATATGAAATATCAAATCCTGCAAACTCTATTTATCCAGAAGATAAAAACGACTCGGATAACTTTTCATATATTAAAATAATATATGATGCATTCAATGAAAATTTGGTCAGTATTTATCCAGAACTTTACCGTTGTAGTTCTGAATTATCAATTGATGAAAATTTATACAATTATTATGGTAATTATTGTAACAAAACTTTCATGCCATCGAAGCCGGGTAAATATGGTATGAATTTTTTTTGTTGGCAGACTCTACAACCAACCTTGTTTTAAATTCGTTTTTTTATAGAGGATCAAACAATGGAGAACCTGTACGTGATATCGGAGGACTTGTCGTGATTGAATTACTTAAAAAATTACAAGTCAAACATCCAATTGAATCAACGCTAAATGTTGATAGGTTTTTTACAAGTGAAAAGTTGTGCACAAAACTTCTTGAATATGACATTTATTAAAATGGAACAGTCAACATGAACAGGAAATTTGTGCCAAGTGAATCAAAATTACACATTACAAAGTCTCGAAAAGGTTGTAAACCTTCTCAAATCAAACAAAAGGTACTTGAGAAGATGATATATATAAAAGGAAGTATACAAACCATTCGGTTGGTTTCTTTTGTAGAAAAGAATAGGAATGTTATTCTTTTAACATCGGTTACATCTCACCAAGAATCTGTAGTTAAAAAAGTACCGACCACTCTGAAACGGGAAAGTTCCAATCGATCCTTAGGTACAACAAATACATGTGTGGAGTAGACCAAGCAGACCAAAGTATGAAGAGTCATTGTTGTAAGCGTCCCTCAAGACGTTGGCCTTTGGCTTTTTTCTATCACATTATTGATTTGGCTCTCCATAATAGTTACATTCTGTTTGTACTTAACAAATGTGGAGACAATGGTGTAAGTAATATTGACAAAATGAAAAAGAAGTATCCAAAGTGGAATTTTGTCATAACACTTTCCAAACTTCTCTGAAAAGATAACGCCATCAATAGATTGCGAAAGACAAATTGTTATTCAACTAGACAAGCTATAGTTGAGTATCTTAATATTGATAAAGAAATATTTTCAATGACAGAACAAAGCGCGATTGTTGAAAAAATAAAGAAAAAAAACAAAAAAGGAAGATCTGAATGCAGAATTTGTCTGGATTTAAAAGAACATGGAGTATCGGCAAGCAACTTTAAGAGAAGATGTCGCAAGTGTGATAAACATGTGTGTTCTTTTCATTATCAATGGGTTTGTGACAACTGTTCTAATATAACAAACTTGGATTTGTTAAAAGAAATAAGGGAATGGAGAAAAAAATAATTGCAAATCGGAATGAGGTAAAATAGTTGATGACAAGTAAGTAAAGTAATCATAATAAGTATTATTTTTTTAGTTTTATTTTTTTTGTTGACTTTTTTGTTGATTTTTAGTTGATTTTTTTGTGGTATTTTTTATTGTATTTTGCTTTTTTGTTTTTTTATTTACAAAACATGTTTTTTGGTATTTATTTTGAATTTATTCTTGATTATTTTATTATGATTATTTCTGTTTGTTATTACTGGTTTAATGTGTTTTTCGGGGATATTCACCTAATATTTAATCCAAATTATTTAAATAGTTTTGGGACATATTTTTTAAAAACTGTAAAAAAGAGAAGTGTTGGGTTGTTGGCGAGTTAAAATTATTAATTTGGTTTAGAAAAAACTAAAAATATAACATAAAATGATTGTTCGTTATATCGGTAATACAAAAAAATAAATGCCAAAAAAATGGAATAAATAAACAAAGAAATAGAAAAATAAAATAAAGCAAATCCGATAAAACAATCAAGAAATTAAGAAAGAAATAGAAATATTAAAAATTATTGAAAACTCCAAAATTTACAAATAAGACATATGAGTCAACTTGATAGCTACAGTTTAATGATTGTAACAAAATATTTTAATACTATAGAAGACTTTATTAATGTCGAGTTTGTCAATAAAAAGTTTCGCTTTAATTTAGATAAATTCCATTTCAACCCTATAAGGTTAACAAAGAAGACTTTGAAGTATTTTTCTCATATAGAAACACTGAACGTGTGGTCTAAAGACGATGAACATTTTGGGAACAATGTTATTTGTACGATCGACTTATCAAGTAACTTCACAATAAAAAGTGCAGACATTCCACAAATCAAAATAAGGCACTTGGAATTTTCTCAAAACACCACAAACACAATTTTTAGCGACAAAGACGCAACAGAAGAACTCACCAACACAGCCGAAAAAGTAGAAAAAAAAGAAGAAGTCGAACAATCAAAAAATTCAAATCAACACAAAAATAATTCTGATGGTAAATATCTTCAAATACAAAATTTTGAATGCGAGAAGAAGACAATTTTCAAATCGCACTTTCCAGCGCAAAAAAGTCGAAAAAGTCCACATCTTAATGAATTCCAAAACTTGCAATTCACTTCAAACGAACACACAAACGCCACGCAAAACATTCAAAACATCGAAAAAACAGACAGACAACGTTTTTTCTGTGTTATTTTTTGGTACCCTGTCTCGTATTCAACCACACGGAAATACACAAACGAGAACTACATTTTCAAGTCAGTGGTGTACACTTCAGACAACAAGAAAGTGTACGGATCAACAATTCCAACAAACGTCACTATTCTTGGCAAAGAATGTTTTGCGAAAAGTCCGAATACATCGCTTGTAGTACCAGATAGAGTCTATTTTCTCTCAGAATTCTGCTTTTTGGATTGCAACAACTTGCGTGAAATTGTCCTTCCAAAGTCACTTTCTTTCATCAGCAAAAGCGCGTTTTATAATTGCACTTCACTCACTGAAATTACAGTCCCCCCACGGGTCTCGTCAATTTCTGATTACACGTTTTACTCGTGCGAGTCGTTGCAAATATTTACAGTGCCAGAGCAAGTGACGTCGATTGGGAATTACGCGTTCAGTTGTTGTTATAATGTTACGTCCATCTCACTGCCTACAACACTTAAAACACTGGGGAATGAGTGCTTCTCAAATTGTTATCATCTTGAACACCTTGA